GCACGGTTATAGTTTAGCCAATAACAAGCACGGTTATAGTTTAGCCAATAACAAGCACGGTTATAGTTTAACTTATAATAAGCACGGTTACAGTTTAGCCAATAACAAACACGGTTATAGTTTAGCCAATAACACTGTTGTAGTTTAACCAATAACTAGCACGGTTATAGTTTAGCCAATAACAAGCACGGTTATAGTTTAACTAAGTAACAAAACACGGTTATAGTTTAGCCAATAACAAGCACTGTTATAGTTTAGCCAATAACAAGCACGGTTATAGTTTAACCAATAACAAACACTGTTATAGTTTAACCAAAAACAAACACTGTTATAATTTAACAGTTCAAGACTATTCTTTCTATAACGCTGAAATGGAGGTTTAATTCCTGCAAAAGGCAAAGCTCATATAGCTCATTGTGCAGCTTTGGGCTTAGCAGCAAACAAATTCATTGTCTCCACAGAAGGCTTGTACAGCTAAGACAAGAAGGTGCAGAATGTGCTTGTATTGGTCAGGAAAATAAACAAACATCAGGGGCAGACTTGTGGTAATAACCTTTAAATGGAAGTAGCCACGCGGAAGTGAACATTTTGTTTGTTTGTTGTTAAACACAAAATGGGCTATCTGTACTGTACCCACCACGGGTATAGAAACCCGGTTTTTAGCGTTATAAAGATTCAGACGTTTCGCCGAGCAACTGAGAGGTCGCAGATTAATAACAAATCAATACTGTTTCCAATCATTTTGATCAATAATCCTTTAAAATTAATAATACATTCTTATAATGAGTAACTTGGTGAGTAGAAGCTTCTGTTATCTTTCCTGTACCGATATTATAAAAAATAATATATTTAATGTTTCAGAAGATATGTGAAACGCCAATAAAAGAATGACCAAAAAGTAATTTCTTAACAATAAAAATTACAAAAATACCAACGGAAAATTATAGAATTAAAGTACGTTATTATTGTCCTTAATTATTCCAATCCTTAGTTTAAAAGATAAATAATATGTTTTTCGGACACGAGATGGCGACGTGTATGCTTTCTTTGATTTTCTAAGTAAACAATGAAAGATTAATATAGTTTTGTGGTCGTCTTTGAAGTCTTAACTTATCTTTAAGGAACAGAACAGTCGTCAGAAAAAAGTATAAAATTATCTTGAAATATGAGAGCGCAAAAAATATTTGTATTAATTTTTTATTGAAATTATAAATCAGATTTCGCTGTATCTTTCTCAAGTTTGGCACGTCAATAAATTATAGTTTTAACTAAGTCATGACACTTATAAAATTCAAACTGTAGGCCACGTTATATATTTTACACGAAAAAAAAAGCGCTCCTACTTTTATAATCTTGATATTTTAACGTATTTTTATCTTGCATGGCTTGGTGAATAGGGGGCACTCTACTCTCAATCTGCTGGTCGCGGGTTCGAATGCCACTGTCGAACGTGCTCTGCACCTTTCAGCCATGGGGGCGTTATAAAGTGACGGTGAATACCACCGCTGTTCGTTTAGAGTAACCCAAGCGTTTGCGGAGGGTGGTATTGACTAAATGCCTTCCTTCTAGTCATCACTTGTAAATTAGGGACAGCTAACACAGGTAATTCTCGAGTAGCTTTGAGTGAAATTTGAAAACAACATTGTGAAGAACAGTTAAGTTATTTTTACGAGTAAACGGCCTGAATGAGAAAAGGTAGGAGATGTTGACCAGCATCCTAGACAATGGTGTCAAGTTATTTTATTTTAAATCCAGATCTTAGAAATCTTAAGCAATACTATGCGATTTGTGGCGCTCCCTAGTGGCACAGCGGGAAGTCTGCGGAATTGTAACGCTAGAAACCGGGTTTCGATTTCCCTAGTGGGCATAGCACAGATAGCCCATTCTGTAGCTTTGTGTTTAACTACAAACAAAAGAGTTGCATAGCCCCTTCCCAATCTTTATTTGCTGAGTTATTTTATTTATTGTTTCCATAGTTACTCATTAGATTGTTGTTGAATAAAGCACGTGCTTTTATCAAGTGTACATTGAAGGTACACTTTTAATTATTTGTACATTTATTTTAATACATATTTTATACCTGTATTTAATTGTTTTTTGGAGGGTTTAGGCCTAGTATGAATTTTATATAAGTTTGTTTTTTATTCAGCAATTAATTCTGAAGAGTGTACTTGTTTTTACTTAAACAGCAAGCTACACAATGCTCTGTCCACCGTAGGTATCGAAATCCGATTTTTAGTGATATAAACCCTCAGAGTTAGCTCTGAGCCATCGGAATTGAAACAGGTAATAAATTTACGAAGGGACAAAAAAATTTGGGGATTTACTACAAATATTTTACAACTGTAACAAGGTTTAAGTGGTACATCTGATAATATACACAAGATTTAAGTGTTGCATCAGATAAAATACACAAGATTTAAGTGTTGCATCAGATAAAATACACAAGATTTACGTGTTGCATCAGACAAAATACACAAGATTCAAGCGTTGCATCAGATAAAATACACAAGATTTAAGTGTTGCATCAGATAAAATACACAAGATTTAAGTGTTGCATCAGACAAAATACACAAGATTTAAGTGTTGCATCTTGTAAAATGG